GTCCGTCCATCCATCCATCCATCCATCCATCCATCTATGTATGCCAGGCGTGGGCAAACTTTTTGACTCACGGGCTACAATGGGTTGTAAAATTTGACACGGGGGCCGGGTCAGGAGCAGATAGATGGGGTGTTTGTGTGAACTAAGATAAATGACATGTAAAGGTCATGCATACTGTAAAGGCTAAAATGCTTTTAGCCTTTTCTGTGCCATATTGGGGAAATGCGGCCATTGCAGGGAAAAGTCAGAAGTATAATAATAAGAGAAATGAATAGTGCAATGGATAAGTTTGGCAAGCCGGATTAAAATGCCAAACGGGCCACATCTGGCCCTCGGGCCGTAGTTTGTCCTGGCCTGATCTACGGTATGGACACCTGGAGGTCACCCTTTGGTTTAAAATGGTTCAAAGTGGTTAAAATCAAAACAGAGGAAAACCGTGGGATTTAGTTTTTTCTTATTCAGACCTGTTGGAGACATGCTCCTGAGCTGTCATTGTGCATGAAGAAGTACACGTGTAAAGACTGAACACAGAGGTTTTGAATAGAAAAGATGTTTTTATGCTCTGTTTGAAGTCACATCACATCAGACCTGGACAGCCTCAGCTGCTGTGGTGAATCTGTGTTTTGTCCCCTCAGTTTCAGGGACTGTGAAGAAATATTTGTATGACCGCTGTGAGAGCATTCTGACATTTTCTGTAAAATGTTTTTAACAGCACTTTAAAAGCACACAGCGGCATTGATGATTCACCGAGGCGTGAGAAGTTTCAGTGAAAGTGTGAGGAAGTGATGAGTAAGACAGACTGGGGGACAGTGGAGCTGAAGCAAACATCAGTGTCCTCGTGACCTCAGAGGAATCCATACAGACACGTCTGGTTGCACAGCCTCCTCAAACAGACACACATACAGTACCTCAACCCAGCAAGTACGGCTTATTCCCCCTATGGATTAGTCAAAGATACTGGCATGTAGATGGCTGTAGTGTCAACACTGTTCTGTGTGTCAACACTCAGCAGCCTGCCTCAGCACTACGGATCTGTCAACAGTGCTGCTCCATCAATAAAACAAATCTAATTGTTCCCGCTGCACAAATTAAATTTCTCTTGCACTGGCGGCTGCAGTGTTTTGTATTACTTGTGCGGCTGATGAGTTGCAGGCCATCACTCATCAATGCTATTATTCTCAATCCTTAAAATGTTTATTCTGGGGATGCTGGACTAATCCCTCATATAAACACTCGTCCTTCAAAACAACAACCCATTTATCATTTGATTTATTTTAGCCTCGGTTTGATAGATATGTTGTCTAATGTAGGGGTGCCCAAAGTTTTTGCAAAGAGAGGCCAGATTTGGTGAGGTGAAAATGTGTGGGGACAAATCATTCAGCCTGACATTCTTGCAACCATTAACATGTAAATATATATATATACGCTAACTATATCACTTTGTACAGTTTGTTGTATACATGTTTAGACCACCTATCGTATATAAAAATAGAAATAAAATTATTTTGATTTTCTCAGTCTTTTTATCCAGTTTCCCTCACCATTAATTCACTTCTTTGTGGTGTTGTTTGAGGGCTTGTAAATCCTGATCTCTAGGTTAAACATGTCTCCATTCCCTTTGTTTTGATGCAGGAAGAGTCTAATGTTGAAGCAGATTGGGATGCTGGACCATTCACCCTTTATCACTCCCATGGTGCAGCACGGCAGTGAGTGGCACACTAATAAGTTAACTCCGCTTCTGACACCTGCCTCAAACAACCAGACAAAATGGCATCAGGTGAGCAGAAATTACACTCGTGTGTAGAATATAAAAGATGATATAATGTATGACTAAATTATACAGCTGCTCTGCTCTGAGCTTTTTATGATGACTCTTAGGCGCTAGATGCCGAAAGATTTTAGGTAATCTTTTGTTTGTTTGCACAGATTAGCGGTTTTACAGTGTGTATACGGACATAGGTGCAACTCTTATCCACACTCCGTGGTGAAAAACAGAAAAGGAGAGGGTTGTGATGTGTATGGTCCCTGGGTTGTCATCCGTTCTCACTCAGCTCATGTGTGTGATGCGGTCAGAGAAACCACTCCGTGTTAGTCGAGTCCAAGTGTGAGGAATTTGTCCAGTCACTCGTTGAGCCTGGTGAGAGAGTTAAGCTCTTGGAGACTCTCCAGAGAGATTTGGTGAAGACAGGAGCTCGGATTCCTCTCATCCATGAACAGTTTGCTCTCATGGACAAATATGAGGTCCCCAGGGGACATGCTGTAAGCAGCTTAGTGATTAAAAACTGTCTCTGCACACAATGCCATAGATATAGATTACAGACTACAGAGTAATGATGAACACTGACGAGGTGTTACGGTGTTAAAGCCTCGCTAACGTTTGCAGGCGCCTTTCATTATCATGTAACAGTAGTTGCAGGAGGCAAATAAAAATGCCTGACGTGCTTTGTGCCGCCGATCGTAATGATAATCTGAAATGCATAGAGGGAAATTATTTATTTGCTCTCTGATAAAAACAGATATGTGGTTAAAGCTCTGTCGTACAAAACACAACTGGATTTCACCTTCAACTTAATCACCAACTATTTACTGGAGGACTTTCCCCTGAATAATTAATAAGAATGTTTTTCAGGTTGTTTCTATGGTAGCATTTCTCACTGTTGTAGCTAATGTGAATGAAACACTTTTTTTTTTTGCATTTGCCAAATCATGCAGACTGAATTATCTTTTTTCAGAACTACTGCTAAGTTAACTAATAACTTAGTAGCACTAACTTATAATAATGCAAATAGAATAGCACATCTTGTTTTGCATCAAAAGACGAATAGGACAAACAAAGTTTTGTTTCTGAATGACATGTTCACTGAAAGTGGCAAATGTTTATTTAGGAAAAATGATCAATTATGGATGTTTCTAGTTGATTTATAATCATTCAAGAGACAATTGCGATGCATCAAAAAATCTATTTATTTCTCCCACCCTTATAACACAAATTTGACCCATTACATAAGACACATCTGTGTGCCTGTGTGTGTTTAACATACATTTTGAGAGCATCATCAAACTAGTTCTGCAGGTGGTCATCATCATTGTGGCAAAGGGTTCCTCTAGTGAATTAAAACCTGCGAGGGTCTGACTTTTTTGTTGTGGGGATGTTTTTGTTTTGGCAAATACCTGGTTGATGTTGCATCACCTTTGTTATGATATTTTGAGCACTTTGAGGGCACAGTCTTAGAGACACTAAAATAACAGCCCGGATATCTGAAATAAAATCGCATTGCCGGATAAAATGGATTGCATACAGTACATATCCAATGTCTGTTTGCATAATTATTCATATATACATTAATTCACTAACGTTCTTGTGTGTTTGGATGGAGCGGGATTAAACTGTTGACATACAATCACGGGAAACAGTTTCTAAACTTTGATGAAATATAAATTCATCCTGGCACACTTTCTTTGCGGCTGTGTGTTTGTGCACGCGTGCGCGTGTACACATGTGTGTGTTTGCATGTGTGCTCTTGCACTTTTTGTTTCAGTCCATCTGTCCCTCCCCCCAAAGACCAGATGACTCAGCTGGTGATCTGCATGTCTGACATGATGCAAGGCTTCAGCCTTGACTGGCCTGGCGGGTGGTCATGTCCCTGAATGGCAGAGCGGCAGCAGACTCCTCAAAGCATCTTTCTCCACCTCCGCCCCCCCACCCACCCTTCACCCCTCCACTCCCCTCTCTCTTTATCTCAACTCACTGTGTCCCTCTGTTTTACAATGTTTTCATTAAACTGCCAAGTGGATTAACATGGAAAGGCAGAACTAACAAGTGTCACACATGGTGAAATACTCCCTTATTCAGCTGGTGTGTTCCACATTATACACAGATCATTTTTACAGGCCGTCTCTGGGCTTTGGAGAACTGGGCTTCCCAACTTCTTCTTTTTACCATGCTTTGAAATGTCCTCATACATTCAGGGAATTTACTTCAGTGGAAGAGAGCCAGTGGTGCTGAAAGGCAGCAGTTTACCGCTGCTCTGTGTGTCTGTGTTTTCACTACTGCTTGCTTTTTTTCTGCGTCCCTACTGAGCTATTACTGATCTATAAGGCCTCATCAGAACCAATAGCCTGTATCTAATCTGTTCCAGCGCTTGATGATTTCTGATTACAGCTGCACGAATTCAGCGTTTTTCAGGGTTTTTTTTTTTTAAAGATACCTGGTCGCTGGGCTCCATTTGATATCAAGTACTAGAGCATTAGTGTGGAAATAATAAGATGTGTAAATCACACTGTGGCGCACCAGCTTGAATTATTGTTTAAGGTAGAAGTGATGTCAGCTGTGATTTAAAACCTTTTTGCAGAAAAAAACAAATCAAAATAAATCACATAAATTAACTATAAATAAACTTTTATTGGGTTCTCTAAAGCATGATGTAAAGTCCAAAGAGATTCCAGTGAAGTATTTTAGACAGGTTTAGTGCATATTGTTGTTATAAAAAAAGTTTTCTAAGACAGTGTCAGTTAGATGGATTTCTAATTCACTGCTTATTTGTTGAAATCCAGCCTATAGTATCAGTGGTACTTTTGACCTTGAATGATTATGTGCGTGACCTGTGTGACCTTAATGGAGCACTTTCTAGTTTCTTAGATGAGATGAAAAAAAGATCAACCAGACAATGCTGGTAATCTTTTTGTTGTTTTAAGTCGAAGCACATCTAGTAGCACGATGCTGCGTGGGACAGGGTCAACATGCACTGATGTGATGGTAGCATTTAACGAAATGGTCAAAACGTCCCTCCATACCTAGTGCAGCTGATTCCTAATATCAGTATGCAATAGCCCCATGCATATTTTTAATCTTTTTTTTTTAACTTCACAGCTGCAGTATGACTGACATTTCTGACTAGAAGATAAACGAGCCCCTGCCCTCGCATCATTCCTCACCCTGGTCCTGTCTGTATTTCCCCTGTGTCTCCCGTCCCTCCCTGTCCTGTCCTAATCCTCACCTCACTTTGTGGATGACTGAATGTTTTGTTCGTGTCAGCCTTATCATGTAATCTGACTGGGCTCTTTCTCGGAGCGGTCCTGCCCTACATTTTTATGGAGGAATTATCTTATATAATTCTTATATAAGAATTATCTCCACATGCTCCTCCATGTGCACGTGCACGTTTAGCAAGCATGCACATACACAATATGCTGCCGACTCGTGCATCATCTTACAAAACATGTTTCATACAATCAGGGAGTATTTAATCCTCAACACCAGTTACAGATTTCACAGAAGTCGTTCTAGGGAAGGATATAGAGAGCTCCCAATCATCTTGAATCTTTGGAATCATTAGTTCGTAACAATTCTGCTTACTAGGACAACTGCATAGTGACATATTTGACATAGAATGCATGTTCCCTAATTTGGAGGGCTTACTACATGGCCTCTAGGCAGAAGTGGTCTGAAGTATGGCTGCATTTCATACAGCTGTTTGCAAGACAGGCAGAACGTTAACAACCAAAAAGCGGGGGGGAACCCAAGGGCACACACACCATGCAATTTATATACGATCAGTGTGCCGTCTTTTATACACTGCTTAGCATTGACAGCTAGGTTTTTTTATCTTAAATGTTCCAGATAACATTAAACTGATTCAGTCCTGTGTTAATGTCAGTGACATTTGTCAGCCTGTTTTCACTACAGTGTATGAATCACTCGATAGGTGTTGATAAAGTGATTCATTAGGAATCAATTTGATAAGTTGTATCGATACGAGAACCACAATTATTGTGTTCCCATCCCTAGGAAATACTTTGTGTGCTCAGTCAAGATGTATGCAGTGTTTGTGCCACAACTTAGAAAAACAAACCTGATATTTGGCAGGTTAATGAGGCCGGGACATAGTTCCATGCTGTGCTTCCTCTCACTCTAACATGCCGGCCCAGACATCACTGTGCTTCTGTGAAGGGCACACGTGCACAAAAATATCCCCCAAACATTTCATTTTTATTGAAATACTCTCTCGGAAAATGTTAGCAATGTTTCATTTATTTCTCCCTCTGCATCCATCTCTTCCTCTCTGTTCTGCTTTTACAGACATCACACACTCACACTTCTGCCCACACGGCCCATTCAATTAAAATAAAGTAGCTAATCATATATGGATTGCTTTACATCTGTAATGGGAGCTAAGTTATTGGTTCCTCATTAGAGACCTCGCTGTCGACAACAGAGAGAGGCCTCCAATAACAGTGAGAGGAGAAAAGTGCAGTTAAGGGCCTGAGTGAAAGCAGATACGAGCTGGTGTGTGTCCACGCATGTGTGTGTGTGTGTGTGTGTAAAAGTTGGGTCACTGCCACTAGGCAGACTGCGGTTCCAGACCGTGGGTAGATGGGAGGAAATGCACCTCCGTGAAGATCATATAGCTCGTAAATCCACGCCGTAGCGGGAGTAAGCGTGGCCGTGGGAGCCCTTAATGTGTGAGAGACTCCTGTCCCAGGCTGAGGCCCAAACATGACGCCTCGTCCCGACCATCCCCCACTGTGGACGGCATCTTTCCACAACTTGTTTTTTCCACTCTCTTTATTTCCCCCAAACCTCCTCTTGTATTTTCACCAAGCCGTCTCCCCATTTATCTACTGTTCTCCCCATTGCACCCTCACAACTCACACCACTTTTCCGCCATGTTGAACTTAACTGTCCCACCGACTCACTCTGACTCTCTTTAACGCCAGACTCCTCACTCTACAGTCTCTGACATCAGGCTGCTCTTTAATCTGAGAATCCCCTCCATT